CATGAATTGGACAACTTGCCAGAGAAATGTTTATCTATTCCCGCCTTCTTTAATTTTCTTTTAATTTCCCTAATTTCTTGCTTTAAGAAAATCTTCTCCTCATCTCTTTTGTTCTCACTCACTACTGAAGAAGAGGCCTCATTCTCTTCTGAAGAAGAGGCTTCGTTCTCCAAAGAGCCAGCTTCACTCTCCTCTAAAGAAGAGGTCTCATTCAGGGTGGCCTCACTCGAGGTGGCCTCACTTGAGGACTCAGTTGAGGCTTCCACAGACAGCAAAACCTCCCTTTCCTGGATTTCTTCAAAAGTATTCTGCACTTCTTTTAACTGTTTTTTAACTTCCACCTTATCACTAAATAAAGAATCACGGACTAAGCGCCACAAAGAAAAGTTGGCAATAGGGAAATTCTCTGGGTCCTTTTGCAAGCAGGATTGCAAATTAGCCTTAACCTGTTCCCAATCGGGGACACTCAAGCTCCCTGAAACAATAAACCAAGGACTACTGGATTGAACGGCTTTAACAAAATTTCTAATCATCCTAGTTTTAACTGGCTTCCCCAGTTGATGTAAAAGTTCTTCAAGCTCAGCAGCCAATTTATCCTTGGAGAAGGCAGAACCCATCTTTTTTGCAAGGTAAATGAAACACCAAGATCCAACAATACTTCAAAACAAAGGTAAAACCTTACTGTATTTCACAACAAATCTTAAACCAAACTGTGTTTCAAAACAAGACTAAAACCTACTATATTTCACAATAAATCTTAAACCAAACTGTATTTCAAAAGAAAACTCCCTCTCCTACCAGTTTAGGAAAGTCTTACCACATGGGAGATTTGGAAGAAGCTTCGGACTGGCTCAGCTCTGGCCAATGTGGTCACCTGGGGAGTGAACCAGTGGAGGGAAGATCTTTCTCTCTGTATCTCCTTCTTTGTGAAATCGGATTTTGCAATAAAAATAAATATTTTAAACAGTTGTATTATAAGAAAGATGCTCAGAATTTTGAACGATACAATCCACTTGTCCCATCACTACAGGTTATTAGCATCCCAAATAATATTATAAGTCACAATTTCCGATCCAAATTGCCTAATAATCCCTTTTGGATTGACTATAGAAGATTCACACTTCTTCAGTGTCGTCATTGCCAAAGGAGTCACTAGGTGGCAGCACACACCAAAACATTAGGCATTCAAGTCCTGCAGGAACCAAGGTTAAGGAAATTAGGAAATTAGCCCCTTGGAGAAAGGTGTACAGGAGTTTAAAAAAAAAAAAAAAAGACTTAAACAGGAATACAGAAAATAAAGTTAAATCTTATTCATACTGTTTTATTGCCATTACTATCAAAAAATGAAAGAAGCGTTAATATTAAGCTGGGCCTGAATGACAAAGACATGGAAAATAATTTTAATTATTTTTACAATTTTTAAAGGGCAAGTTCCATTTCTAAGGCTCTAGCACAGGAACATCTCAGCAGGATGTTGTTAAACTATCCACGTGCTCTCACGGGTGCAGAGAGAGTTGAAGTTGTGGTAGCTCAAGAAGCAGGATGCCCATTACTGGCTGGTTTGCAACAACGTACGTTTTGTATAGGAAGCTGTGGATGTCTGGAAAAGCATGGCAAGCTGCTCAGGGAAGTCTACAAAGACAACAGGGAGCAGGGGGCACTGGAGTAAGGGAGACACAGTGAACAGGGGGCTGGCGCTGTGGCACGTTGGGTTCAGCCGCTGAGCTGCCAACATCCCCTCTCGGAGCACCTGCCTCCACGTCTGATCAGCCTCCTTGCCATCGCGCCGGGGGAAGCAGCAGATGGCCCGGGTCCTTAGGTCCCTGCCACCCAACTCAGAGACCTGAATGCAGTTCCAGGCGTCAGCTGTGTTGTGGATCCCACCTGTTGTGGCCAGTGGGGAGTGAGTCAAACGGTAGAAGATTCTCTCTCTCTCTCTCTCAGTATGTCTTTGTTTTCTCATTGTCATTCTGGTCTTCAAGTAAATACATCTTTTACAAAAATAGTTGCCATTAGTGTTTTTATTTTAAAGGAATAATGCGGACATATATTAAGAGGCAACAATGAGAGCTGCCATTACAATTAAACTTTGTGACTGAACTTTGTAGTTGACGTTAGTCTTTTGCACATATTGTTAATTCAAATCCTTGCACTTCTTGCATTACAATGACCTTCAGGAGAGTGTGTTGCACAGTACTACTCCAGGTATGGCCTCCACTTACTGTGTTTCTTGTGATGGGAAACCAGTGGACATTCGTACATGGAGATCATCGAGAAATATTTACACAAGTTTGACAGAGTAATTTTTATTCAAGATTTATTTATTTATTTATTATTGGAATGGCAGATTTACATAAAGAAGGGGAAACAGAGCCAATATCTTTCATCTGCTGGTTCACTCTCCAAGTGACCACAATGGCTGGTGCTGAGCCACTCGGAAGCCAGGAACCAGGAGCTTCTTTTGGGTTTCCCACATGGGTACAGGCTCCGAAGGCCTCAGACCTTCCTCTATCATCTTCCCAGGCAACAAGCAAGGGTTGGAAGGGAAGTAGGATAACTGGGATATGAATGGGTGTGCATAGGGGATCCTGGTGCATGTGAGGTGAGGATTTAGCCACTAGGCTATTGCTCTGGGCCCAGCAGAGTAACTTTCTGAGACCATCCAGGTCCTCTGAGGTCTTGGCCACACCTTCAGGTGGGCGGTACCAGCATTGTCCACCCATTTCCTAATTAATCAAGAGATCACCAATGGGGAACATCTCACCTATAGGTTCCCCGCCCAACAAGGAGGGGTCAAGGAAGGCTTAAAACCCCTAGACCCTTCCTCAAACCTTTGGTGTCTCTCTCTCCCTCCTCTTTCAAGAGGCACCCCACCTCCCGGCTTCTTTTTGGAGGTGCTTCCCCTTCCTTCCCTTCCCTGCTTCCCTGGTCCCTTCGCAAATAAACTTTCCTGTTTGCAACAGATTCCCGGTTTTTCATTTCTATATTAAGCTGAGGAAAGAACCCACCGGACATTTCTGGTAACACTTTCTATTGATTCCAACAAAAAATTGGGACTTTTGTGTGCTTTTTTTTTATTTCTCCAGAATATCAGGCTTAAGAGGACTGAGCATGCACACACACACAGTTACACACTATACACTCACTCACACACACTTACACACTCACACTTCCACCAAACTTTGAGAAACACTGCCCTGTGAGGACTAACACAGCTACAGTGCTCAAAAGAGATGAGTGAGGAGAGACTCGGGAGAAGCTCCCAATAATTTCCACCTGTTGCAAATGCAGCCATTAACATTGTCTTCCCAGCCACCCAGTGAGACTGGTAGTGTGATCTTTATAAAAGAGGGAAGGAAATTCAGTAGTCACCATGATGTCCCTACAGCAAAGCGGGACTGAAGCTGCTGTCAGAATGTTCCATTCTAAAATCTTCATGTGTCCGTGCACTCCTGTTCGCTAGGAATACCGACAGCTCACACCTTCCCCTGGACCCGCTGCTGCAGGCGTCAGGGCTGCCTCTGCCAGCGCTGTTGCCAGTACAACTTCCGCAGTCAGTTCCCAGTGTTTCCTGACACTGAGGACAAAGCGTGGTCTTAGGCAGCGCAGCACGATGTGGCTCGCATGTCACATGGAACGTTGGGGCGACCACGAGCAACGCAGTTGCTGTGGGATCAGACTGGAAGCAGCAGGCAAGGATTCATCCCGCTGGTGCCGCGACTTCCTGGTGTGACTGACCAGCGGCTGGCATCCTGCGTGTGGAAGCAAGCTGCTGGAATGACGTGGCCGCCACGGTCTATTTCAAAGCTAAAGAGCATCGTTTCTTCTGGCAAACTCTGACGTATGTGTTAACACGTGAGGGAGCTGGACAGCCGTTCTCAGCCTGGGGCACAGCTGACAAGGGCCATGGAGATGCAGAACCACGGTGCTGGAACCACCCTGATGTCTGGCTGTAAAATTAAGGCATGTTACCTTCCCTTGTGAACCTCAAGTTCCTCACTTGCAACTCAGAGGTGCTCTGGGTTAGCCTTGACTGCTTTCCCAGGCCACAAGCAGGGAGCTGACTGGGAAGTGTGGCAGCCGGGACTCGAGCCGACTCCCAAATGGGATCCTGGTGCTACAAGTGGGGAGAGTTAGTCGCCTGAGCCATTGTGCCGGGCTCTGTAAACTTCTACATAGAGATTATGCCTTTCAAGACAGCGTTAGCTTCACCGGCATCTGTTGTTGCGATGCAGAGACCGTTATATCGGCAAAAACTGCCGGGAGTTGGATGTCCGTGCACAGGTATCGCTTCGTTACCTCAACAGGAACATCCCGCTGAAATTCCATGACATGGAAATACAGCACATGGATGTGGCACCAGGCAAACTCCTCCTGTATGCTCTTCAAGATGGACAGCGTTACAGCCCCAGTGTAAGCTGTGTCTATTTGAGAACACAATGTTGAGACCAAAAATGGTCTATATCTATTTACCTTAGACAGGTTAGTTCACCAGGTTACCGCCTGATATTAAATGAAGAAAACATCTATTTATGACTTTCTGCAATAATTCAGCAAAGCATATCTGATGCATCTCATTACAACAAGCGTCAGCCGCAAGCATTTTGATTTCGTCGACAGAATTGGGCACACTTGGGCAGGAAACCGGAGCAGCGCAGTGCGTGACAGGATTGATTTTCTCGAGTGCTTTATCTGTGCTGTTACTGTTTTTCACTCGGTAGCACCTATGGCACGATCGCCTTTATACTCGTTTAGTGGCCTCTCGGTCTGTCCCGAGGAGTCCACGCCACGAGCTTCGTGGGTAGCGAAAGGTGAGCTCCCCAGAGCAACCTCCACCGACGGCTCTCCAGCCACGCCCCGCCCAGATGTTTATATTTCCCTCGCTGGCCCCGCCCCCGGGCCACGCGGGGTTCTGGACACGCCCCCAACCTGGAGTTCCTGCAGCCGGATTGGCCGGGCGCCGGAGCCTACCCGTAGGGATTCCCGCTCCAGCCAATCACGTCTGCGCCACGGGGCTGCCCCGAACAAAGATGGCGCGGCCAGCCTCCATGCGGGCAGACTGCTGCGAGGAGCCGAGCCCACGGCGGGCAGCCTAGGCAGTGGAGACGGCGCGGCGCGGAGCATGGAGGAGTGCGGCAGCGCGGGTAGCGTCGGCAGCGACAGCAGCACCAGTGGCAGTGGCGGGGCGCAGCAAAGAGAGCTGGAGCGCATGGCTGAGGTCCTGGTCACCGGGGAGCAGCTGCGGTAAGACGAGAGCGCAGAGCCGGTGGGCTCGCCGTGGCTTGCCAAGCCCGTGCCCGGTGCAGCCCCGCGCGCACGCGCGCCGAGAGTCGGGGCGCTCCCCTGCGCCCCGCGACTGCGGCTCCGGTGGACGGGCGGTGTGGGGCGGCTGCGGGGCTCGGCGCGGCCATTCCGGGGGTGCGCGTTGCGCCCCAGCCGGGCTGCTGCAGCCCCGCGCCGGGCAGCCTCGCCACCTGGCACCGCGCGCTCCTTGGCCGGGCACCTGGGCGCTGCCGGGCCTGGTGGCTGAAAGCCTGCCCGGAGTCCGCGGTGAGGGGCCCCGCGCCGACCCGCACAGCCCCGCTTAGTCCTAGGTACGAGGAGGCACCAGTCACATTCATTCCGGCTTTTCGTTTCGTTGACAAGTTTTTCTTCTCTGTTTTTAGTCTCCTCTCCCTCCCTCTCCCCCCCCCGTTTGGTAGATGGAGCCTGTCACCCCGCTGTGTCCCTCACCCCCTGAGGTTGATAGTTGGGGCTACGCTGAGAGAACCTGCCTGAAGCCTGCCACTTGCTTGGCGCACCCGCATCCCTGCCTGGGCTCCGCAAGGGGGCGTGGAGGCCACTGGTCGGGTTGCCCTGCTGCCGTGCGGACTCCCGCCCAGGAGCGCAGGTTGCAGGCAGCAGAGTCCCGCATTGCCCTGGCTGCTGCCTACGTGGAAGCAAGCCATGGCCCTCGGACGCCCCACTTGCCGTGTTCCCGTCCCTGCGTGGTCGTTCTATTTGTGCGTGTGTCTGAGGACCTCACCTCTGGCCTGCCTGCTTCCACAGCTGCCTGTGGTCATAAATCATTGTTAAGCAAGGCGGGGAGGGAAGCCAGGTCTGCAGAGTTTCGGCTAGAAGTTGCACGAGGGCCCCGGGGCCTTCTAGTTCCTGGCTTGAACATTCCTGGTGCATTTTGCTTTCTTGCATGGCAGTGTTCCTGGACCCGAAAGAGAATCTTGCAAAGATCCCACAAGGGTTGCTTGCTTAGTTTGAGGAAGTAAACATTGGAACTCCAAATTCATTGAATTTAATCTGACAAATGGCAAAGGACACCTTTTAATTCCTTTTTTTTTTTATTGTATGGTTAAATAAAAGGAACGAAAAAAAATGTGTTTTCCTTCATTAAGAGCGTTTCCTAATTGAAAAACGAAAGCTTTTGTGTTTTGTTTGGAAATATTTAATTAGAGAGGCAGAGACAGAGACTGTGGAAGTTTCTGTCCTTTGCTTCACTTTGCAGATGCCAGTGGTGTCTGGGGCAGGGGCAGGCAGCAGCCCATCCAGGCTTCCCGTGTGGGTGGTGCTCAGCTGCTTAAGCCCCCACCTGCAGTCTGCTGGGGAATGCATTTGTAAGAAGCCGTAGTAGAGAGAGGAGCTGGTGCTTGAACGCAGACATATCTGAAAATGTGAAGAACCTAGGCGTTTCCTGCCTTTTGTGATTCTGCCTTAATGGCTTGGCTGGGGGTTGTGTGAACCTCAGGCCTGATAGCCTACTTGACACCCGGCAGGACACCTGGCAGGTCACGTAGGCAGACCACTCCTCAGGAAGGAGGTACCTGGTGTTTGATAAGATTCACAGCCCAATAGCTTATCAATTTGAACTTTTTGAAAGTTGCTTATTTCAAACCCACCAATAGAAGCCTGCTAAGTCATGACTGTATAATTAATAGCCTGGAATGTATAAGAACTGGGGAGCTTGGGCTCCCTGGGCTCTTCTGGCTCGCGCTTCTTTTGTCCTCCTTGTGGATCCTTGCAGCCTCGGCTGCGGCTGCCCCGCCCCCGCCCAGCCATGCTGGGCTGGGGGAGGTCGCTGGGTTACCTAGGCTAACCTGAATAAACCACCTTTTTGCCTTAGCACCGACTTCAGACTTGATGATTATCTGGGGGTTTCAAAAAAACCGGCACAACAGCTGCTAGGCCAAGTACCTGCCCCTGATACATGTATTTTTTAATAGTTTAGTTTCTTAGTTGTTCATTACTGTGCCAGCTCCCGAGAAGTCCTCCATTGGACTGCTGGCTGTCTTGGTCCTGCAAGGTGCAGCTTAAGCTACCTGTCTTTGAGTTCCCCCAAAGCATTTGGCCTTCCCTCTTGCGTTGCAGGTCTGTGCATGAAGGCGGGGTTGACAACCATCCTTGGCACGTTGGGTCAAGCTGGAGGGCTCTCTCCCTTGGAACTTAACCTTGTATTCTTGTTCGGCTGCCATGCAGCCATGTGTCAGCATCAAGTTTTATTTTGAGAAGTGGATCCCACCTAACGTGGAATAACTTGGGCCAATGTACTGAATGAAAACAGTAGGCAGCAATGGAGCTTTCTTCCTAGTGTTACGTGGAGGATAGGATGGGTGTGTTTAGAATACGCAGCGAGAACCATAGCAGCGTTAGCAGGGGTGGTGGTTGTGGTCAAGTGGATCCACTGCTCTCAGCTTCTGTTTCTGCCCTTGGAAAGTGGCAGTGGAGACAAAGGGGTTTCATGACATGCCTGAGAATTCACCTCTTGGCTTCCTGTGTTGGTGAACAACCAGATGGTTGCAGGAATGGACTGGTATTGTCGATCTCTCGGCATTGTGGTGTGTGACTTCCAGCCAACTGTGACATGGCAGGAAGGACTGGGGCTGGGGAGCAGCACGGGACAGGGAACCGGCCTGCCTGGCTTCCTGTTCTGTCTCCACCACTTACTCATTGCTGTGACTCTGGGGACATAATACTTCACCTTTCTGAATAGGTTCTGATGGCACTTGTCTTTTGGGAGTTTGATGAGGTTTAAACAAGATATTATATGTACAGAGCTTAGACAATGCACTCGTTTTATATAGAAAACTTTTAGAGGTTGGCCTGTTGAGAAACAATTCATTGATTTATGTGAAAGGCGGAATGGCACAGAGTCTGTCTGCTGGTTCACTGCTCAAATGGCCACGCTGGCTGGCCAGGTGCGGGAGAGACACCTAACCAAGGAGCCCACAGTTTAATCTTTTCTTTTTCCTGAATGGGAACCATGGACTTCTTATCGCCATAGCTTTTGCATTGTGACTAGTACATAGTAATTACTCAGTAAATATTGGAATGCGATTCAGTGTACTTCTGTTAGCACCCAGCAATGCGAAACTTAGAGTTTAGGACTGAAGTGGCTGTAATGCTAGTTCCCTGATCGCTTCTGTTCTCAGCTGCCCTCCTGCTGCGCGGTTAAGGACACTGTGCTGTCCCTGTCTCGTGCCTCTAATTGCTGAACACGCATTCACGGTTCACTCTGCTTTCTCCTGCCATTGCGTGGCTTTCCAGCCATCAAAGATGCGGTGCGCTGATAAAGAAGGAGGAAACCAAGGCCTGGGATCTGTAATAAAAATTTGGCCTCTAGACGCGGCACGGCTGACGTCTTTTTCTTTCTTTCGTTTCCGTAGCTGCCTTCTCTTGGACCGGTCCCTTAGCTTCTCTCCTGTGTGCCCTGCTTTGCAGACTGCAAAGAATAGTATCCTCCCACACACGGTCTGCAGTGTTGGATCAAATGGGTACAGCATGGGAAGGAATTTAAAAAAATAAATCAATAAACAAGGCTAGAGTCATTATGGTTGTTATAAGCTCCAGATGTGAAACTGGGGCCTGGATCCACAAACTTTGGTGCAGTTGGTCCCATAAGGACAAAACATTGAGTAACAGACTGAGGCAGCGTTTGCTTTCTCTTCCAGCTTGTCTGCAAGACTGTTCTTCCTGATCCTCTCCGTGCCTTTCCCCCTTGGCAGAGCAGCTTTTCCTTTCTTGCCCGGTGTGACTCCATGTTTCTGCTTCTTTGGAACGTGCTTGGGTACCCTGCATCCCCTTCACAACGGCTGTGTGGAAGAGAGCCGATACTACCAAGTGTTGGCCAGAAAAAGGAAATGTAGGAACTCACACACTGCTGGTGGGAATGCAGAATGGTATAACCACTTTGGAAAACAGGCTGGCTTTTCCCCAAAGGCTAAAGACAGAGTTGACTTATGATTCAGCAATTTGGCTCCGAAGTGTATGCTTTAGGTGGTAGATGGCCACATATAAAACTGTGCAGAGACAAGGCATCGATACTGGTCAACACCGGGAACATTGTAAATGCCCATCAACAGATGAGTAGATGTATCCACAGCATGAGACATTATTTAGTAATAAAAAGGAAGGAAGTACTGATACATGCTGTGACATAGGTGTAGCTTAAAAGGATTATGGGAAGGAAGTATAAAAGGACACAGGTTGTATGACTCCACTTCTAGAAAGTGTGTGCTTAGAAGGGGAGTGAAGTTGGTGCTTGGTCCCATCAAGAGAAGCGAGGAATGAAGGGCGACTGTCCAGAAATATGTGGTTTCTCTTTGTGGTGTTGAAAATAACCAAAGCTCAGTTATAATCATGGTTGCCCAACTCTGTGGCTATATTAAATTGTGTAGATTAACTGAGGGAACTGGTTATTATTTACAATTACGTATTATAATCACGTTACATGTTATGTATAACCATGATTATATATTAATCATATATTAGATATAAATGTATAGATTTATTTTTAAAGATGTATTTACTTTACCTGAAAGAGTTACAGAGAGAAAGGGACAGATAGAGAGAGGGAGAGATTTTCCGTTGTCTGGTTTATTTCTTAAATGGCTACAGTGGCTGGAGCTGGGCTGGCCTGAAGCTGGGAGCCAGGAGCTTCTTCAAGACCTGCCATGTGGGTTCAGTGTTTGACTTCTGCTGCTTTCCAGGCACATTAGCAAGGAGCTGGATTGGAAGAGGAGCAGCTGAGATTACCCCAGGAGATGCTGGCGCCACATGTGGAGCAGGCTACACCACTGCACTGGCCCCACACGCAAATGTATTTATCAAACATAAAGTATTTATCAGCACAAAATATCTATTAACATATAATTGGCATCAGTATAATAATGTGATACTACGTTGATGGTTAAAATCCACAATCATAGCTATTATATTAGCAAATATTACATTTTAATATTCATTATGTTTCTCAT